GTACCCAAAGCGGTACATTGTTTTGCATAAAATTTGTTGTTTTATATTGTAGGCCTGTAATTCTTAAGAAATTATTCATTTTTATCTCTCTAGTAGACATTCCAGGTATGATAAACTTCTTCTGACAGTTAACATTTACCCGGAGCCACACTCGGGGTTACTGCCTGGGAGGCTAGAGAAACAAACCCAGAAACACTCATATATGTATAAGAAAGAGATTTATATCAAAGGGCAATTGTGTATTAAGGAAACATTCCAGCCCAGTCCAGATCAAGAACATAAGCCTGATATTCGCCCATAATTTTGATACTAGTCCATGAATCTCTCTTCAGACTCATGCAGCCACATTCAATGATGCAAAATGCAGGAAGATCACAGGTCGGTGGGTGAAAATTCTTGTGGATCTAATGGTGGTGGAAGTATCACAGTGCTGGCTCAGTTCTCTACATGGCTTAATGTGTCAGCTCCTTCCAGGATGGAAAAAGAGGCTTCCTAATTCCCATAGATTTTCAATCTCAGATGTCCACAAGAGCAGTCTTACTCCACCTGATTGAGTCACTATGAGTTAGAATCCACTTGATGCCTGTGAGTTGGTTTTTTCTTGGTTTTGGTAGAAGACTAGCAAAGCTCTGACTCTCTTTGTTGTCCCAGGTTATCTAGTGGTAGGCGTCCAGTTTCCAGTCTGAGGGTGTTGCTTAGTGGGGCGGATCTGGCTTAAATCAAGGCCTGGGTGGTGTGTTTGTCTTAAGTCCTGGGCGTGAGGGAGCCAAGAAAGGCTGAGGGAGTGGAACCACCAACATGGTGAGCATACCACGCATTCCTTCTTAATTATTCCTACTTTTATTTTATTTTGTCAGACTGGTTTCTAGTGATTTTCTGCATTCTTCTATCTTCTCTTCTGTTTTTCTTTCTTTCTTTTTCTGTACTTCTATCAAATTTCCCTTCATTAATTTAAAGCAGGTGAAGATCGTTTCACTAAACTCCTTCATAGAAATAGCTAACGCTTTATTTTCCTCCAAGACCTCCTCTGCATCAACATTTGATTCATTGGGTTCAACTGAGCCATTTTCTCTTGTTATTGCATGTGCACAGTTATGAACTGTTGCCTCGAAGACACTATATATATATATTTGTCTCAGAATGAATAGCAATCCCATTAATCTATTATAGGTTTCACTCAAAAATACCCAGGTGTATGTAACGTATGATGTTCTTAATGTCATCTTACAGATAATCTGGTATTTCATCAGTGGTTTACTCCATTTACATCATTAAGATTTACTCTACTTTTATGGAGGTTAGTGGAAATCCAGAAGCATTCATTGGGTCTACACATGGACTAAGTCTCTGTTGAATTCCCTCTGATCATAGTTGAGCGATATGAATACCCTTGTTTTCAGACAGAGAGTATTATAAACTCTATTTTGACAGATGTAAGTAGGTTAAAATATAATATTTTGTCATTTTATCTCCCTTTTCCCCATTTTAAAGTTGTCTCCATTAAAAAAAGTGAAGAGGTGATACATGTAGATTAAACCTCTAGTTATTCACCTCTAACCATAGACCAGGGATATGAATAGCCTTGCAGAATGCTTTGGAAAATGGATTATTTGATATGCAGTTAGATTAAAATTTTAATACCTTATAATTTGATCTCCCTTTTGATCCATTTTAAATTCATTCCAGTTTTTAATATTTTCTGCTTTCTTTTTGATTGATGTTTTATCTCTGCTTTAATTTGCTATTAGTTTTAGGGGGTGTTTGGTATATTTTTTGACATATGAAATCCATAATAGGTAAATCTATAGAGATAGTAACTGAATTAATGATTCCTTTGGGGGCATAACAGGGGAGATTGTAAGGAAATAGGGAGCTAATAACAATGACTAAAAGAAAGAAAAAACTGTTCTAAAATTGTGGTGATGATTATACAACTCTTCTAAATATGTTTGAACTATTGAATTATATGCCAATAAAACCGTTAAAAAATGTCTACTCTATTTTGAGGAATCAGTTTTCCTGATTTGTAATCATACAATACAAGGGAGTACCCCCTACCCCACCCCCACCAAAAAAAACCCATAAAACCTCCTCTGGGCGGAGCTTTCATAGTACACATTTTCCCACTAGGCAAGCATTAAGCAACTTGCTCTGAGTTAGTGCACCCAGTGGTGTTGCCTGGGAAGGTCTTCCTAGGTCACAGTGAATTTTTTTGTAAAAGCAGTTTTGTTTGAACCTCATTTTTTGTGATGGCTGATTTAAGAGAACAGTGTGCAGCTGTGAAATTTTATTCCCTGCTCGGGAAAATGCGACACAAACTGTTGTGATGCTGAAGACAGCTTATAAGGACAGCACTATGGAAAAACTCAAGTGTACGAGTAGTTTGCTTATTTCAAAAAAGGTGAAATATCGATTGATGACAAACCTTGTTCTGGACGTCCGACAACTTCCTGAATGGGCAAAAATGTTGACAAAATTTGTGCACTTGTGCTTGACGACCGATGATCGACCATTGATGAGATAGAGGAATTACCTGGACTATCTTGGAGCTCAGTTCAACGAATTTGGTAATGAGAAGGGTTGCTGTGCGAAATTTGTGCTTTGGGTTCTGACTGACCAGGAAAAAAAGTGAAATAACTTTGAAAGAACAGCTCCAAAGTGACCCAGACTTTTTTCCAAGGTCATTACTGGTGATGAGACATGCTGCTATTCTTATGACTGAAAGCAAACATCAATCAAGCCAATGGAAGACTCCATCGTCATTTCGCGCCCCCGCCCAAAGCTTGTCAAGTGAAATCAGAGATTAAGAGGATGCTCATTTGTTTTGTTTTTTTATATGAAGGGGATAGTGCATTTGCAGTTTGTTCCACCATGTCAGATTGTTAATCAAGCTTTCTATTTAGAGGTTTTGAAATGATTGCATAACAGTATGCAACAAAAAAGGCCTGATTTGTGGCAGGGGAACTGGTTTTGCCACCATGACAATGCATTTGCTCATGCAGCCATCTCAGTGCACCAGTTATTGGCAAAAACAGCATACCTCTCTTGTCCTATGCACCTTACTCACCTGATCTCACTCCGTGCAACTTCTTTTTGTTTCTGAAAATGAAGAGTAACATTAAAGAACAGTGATCTGACAACATAGAAGAGGTGAAGAAAAAAACAAGAGAGGTCTGTCAACCATCCAAACAGGTGAGTTTGAAAAATGTTTCCAAAAATGGAATCTCAGATTTATGGAATCTCAGTGTTATGGAGATTCCTTTGACGGTGATAAGAGTTTTTTGTAAACAAAATGTAAATATGTAGCTTTGAATAAAATCCATTTCTGGGGGTTCCCCCTAATATTTTCCCTTTTGTACCTGTCTTATTTAACTTAGCATAGTGTTTTTAAGATATATCCATACCATATTATGTGTCAAAACATCATTCATTGTTACAGCTGGATATTATTATATGTATATGTCACATTCTGTCTCTTCATTTGTTAATGAACATTTTTTGTTGTTCACAGTTTTTTACTATGTGAATAATGTTAATATGAACATTGGTGTAAAACTGAGTCCTTGATCTCAATTTCCAGTGCCACTGTTATACTTTGTAGTCTATTAGTGATGAGTGGAATAATATGGACATTCTATAATATTTCGATTAAACCTTAGTCGTTGACACTATTTATCCTGATTCTTAGAAGTGTTTTCTTCACAAATTTTCTTGCCCCTCTCCAGACCTAGAGATTTTTTTCTTTCTTTTTATTTTCACCTTTTTTTTGCTTTCTTTTTATTTCTTTCGTGGGTTTTCACCAATGCCTTCATTTTCTGCTGTCCTTCTTTCTATAGATTAGAACTTTTATTCCTTAGTGGATGCAAAACTTTGGTGATGTGAAATTTTCCTTTGTACTGACTGCCGTGGATGCCCACTAGTGCTCTCTGACTATATTTTGTTGGCTTTTTCTCTATATTATTAAGACTTTATTTCATAATCAATAGGGGGAAATAGTCAGGGCCGAATTTCAGTAATGACTGATCTTCTTTTTAAAGCAGAACTACAAGAAGTCTTTCTCAGCATTCTCCCTATTCTTCCCTATCAGTACTTGATGGGATTGCTGGAGAAGTCTGCCTGGATCCAAAATCTCCTATGGTAGTTATAAAATCGTTTGTCAATTTGAGAGGATTAAGAGTAAAGGGGTGGAGTCTAGCCTGTCAATCAGGTCATAGCCAATGAAGCCTCTATGTGGGCATGGCCTTTTCCTGAGATACTGGTAATGCCTGTATTCCTCCTTGGAGGCAGTAGACACTCTCTCTCTCAGCACAGTGTCTGTGAAACATTCTTGTTGACAAGTCACATGGAGATAGGCTGATGGCAGCCAGAGTCTTGGAGCTGGAGAACCCTTGTAGAGAGCCCTGCCAGAACTGAGATGTTTACACTGCCACTGGATCCACAAGACTTTCCACCCAATGGTCTGTGATCATCCTGCATTCAGCATCATCTCATGTGTTTCATGAGTCTGAAGAGGAATTTATAGATTGGTATCAGACATACGGACTAATACCGGACTTATGGACTTTATCTGGACTGGGTTGGGATGTTTTCTCAATATCCAGTTGCTCTTGTATATAAAGCTCTTTCTTATACACATATGAGTGTCTATGTATTTGTTTCTCTAGTCAACCCAGACTAATACTCCTCCATTGTATACAATCTCTAGAAGCAAAGGCAGCCTTTAGTAATTAACTCATTAAAATATTTTAATGAATTTTGGTGATATGTGTATCAAATAAAACAAATGTCTGTCTCTAGTCTCCAGAGATTCTGATTTATCTGTTTGCCCTACCACCTTAGTTTTTGATGAGTATTAAAAAACATTAATTTTCAGTTTTTCTAGATTTTGAATTTTGTTGAAATGGTAAGAGAAATACTCTTTCTAGGCCTACGTCTCTGAAATTATATGAATGTTCATATGAACCTGAAGATACATCTTTGAGACATTTATTCTCTTTCAGCATCTATACCACAGTTTACAAATTCCCCCACAATGGTAATCATGGTTGGTTTACCAGCACGAGGAAAGACCTACATCTCCATGAAGCTCACAAGATATCTCAACTGGATAGGAACACCAACTAAAGGTATGTCTACAGAACCCTGTGTTCTCCATAGGCTACTGATTGAAAACACAGCAAAGTAGAAGCCTATAGTAGGGTCAACATCTTCAGTACCAAGAAATTCCCCATCACCTTCACTAACACTAATAGAACTAGTTCTACCACTATACTCATGAATTTCACAATTTATAGACCCCTATTCTATGACCAACTCCATTATGGGTACTGCATGTATAAAAGTGAGTAAGGTCAGATGTCTCTTCTCAAGGAGCTCCGTGATACCAAGATTTCAAAACAAGCAGGCAAGGAGCAATTGTTTTGGTTACTATTACTGTCATTAGCCAAACAACATTGCTATTTTTATTAGAATTTCCATTTTATTGCCATTTCATTGTTAAGGAAATTAAAGGCCAAGAGGTAATTACTTTGTCCCATATGTGCAGCAAGTCATCTATTTAAGCTATCAACCTATGTCTGCTGCATTTCAAAGCCTGAAATTCATTATACATGGTCAAATATTTGGTTCTATGAGTGAAAAAAAGAAAAGAATACCACATCTTCACTATTATCTCACTATTCCTTCTCTTATCCATGTGGACAGTGTCTATCTGTCTTCTTTCCTGTCTTCCTCTCTACATTTGTCCTCTTTCACTCATGCTGACACAGTGCCTCTGTCCTTATTCTCCTCTCTTCAAATCTTTCCACTTCCATTTCTTCTTGCCCTTCATCTATTCTTTCTCTCATTCATTTGGTAAGAGTTTCTCAAAATGTGTGTGTGTGTGTGTGTGTGTGTGTGTGCACATGTGCAGAGAAACCCATGGTAGGCTGGCGATGAATATGACCACCTCATATCACCTGGAAATTTGACATCAGGAATGTAGTGAATGATTCCCAGATAAGAAGCTGGGGGTCTATGGAGGGAGCCGGGAATTGGCAGAATAGATCGAAAGAAGTAGCTTATGTGGAGGATTGCAAGTCCTGAGGAATCTCTTTTGTTTAGGGACATAACAGAGTGGCAATGTAGATCTATGCCCAGATGCCCTTGGTAACTACTTTCTCCATTCCATTCTCACAGAGGGGTCCAGAATCATATTTCAATGCATAAAACTGACTGTGTATACATTTTTCAAGGGCCCCCTTAACCTGCAAACTTAAAGTCAAATTTCTTAGCCTGTTCCATAGGATAGAGTACAAACTTATCAGTCTAGTATTTGAGACAAGAATATCAATAGCCTTCTCTAGCCATTCCAAGTGGAATTAGTACTTTCTTCTCCCCTCACTTTCTTGCATGAGTTCATGCTCCTTATGCCAAAACACTTAAACTGGTTGAGGGTTCTTTCTTTACTGGTTTCTCTCTGCCCTGTTAGACTGTGAGCACCTGACAAACTCCACGAGGACTTGTTCCATTTGTGAAACTCTAGAACTTTCAACCTGCTTTATTTTGTAATTGTTGGAAAGTTTTTTTTAGATAATTGAATGAAACATTACATTACCTCTTCAACTTCTCATCTCCTTTCTTATCCGTTTATTCTCTCTTCTATGGTATTTCATCATGACAAATGAAAAATTACCTAGAAAGGGCAGTAAGATTGGATTCTCCTTCATAATTCAGAGAAATGAAAGAACACTCATTAAAGAGTCTGGATACCAATATAATTGGCCAAAGGTTGAATCACTGTTTGACACTTTATTATTGATTTTACTCTCTTCAAAGTCCCTGAAAGATTGGTTTCCTTATCTTTCCCATAGAGAAAGCATTAAAAGTTATTACTCAACCAAGAAATCTATATCTAGAAAAATATATATCAAGAATTAGTGGGTGGGGGTGGGGGAGTGGGCTATGACATTGCCAGCTAAATGAAAGTGAGAGAGTTGTAACCATTAAACAGGAAATACAAAAATGTCTAATAGGAGTCCTTCATATTAAAAATGAAAAGAGACAACAATAATAAACTGTACATAGAAAGTAATTTTCAAATGTGGAAGAAGGAGAAGCATTAGAACTGATTGTGATTATGTATGTACAACTATCTTAAAATCAGTCTCACTGTGGAAGTGTATGATATGTGAATATTATATCAAGAAAACTATGTTTTTTAAAAGAAAAGAAATCAAACTTAACCATTGGATGCCATGGTTGAAGGAGGAAGAGTTTTTGCTTAGAGGGCATTGAGTTTATGTCAGTGGTGGTGTAATAATTTGGAAAAGGATACCAATAATGTTTGCACAACATGAAAAGTATAATCAATGGCATGGAATTATACATGTAGAAGTTGTGGAATTGGAAATGTTTTGTTGTTTATATTTTGGCTACAATTAGAACAAACAATTACATGAATAACAATGAGTACAATTTGATTCTAAAATAGATTGTGGGTAATGATTTTACAACTCTTCTTGATATGATTGAATTATTGAATTGTATGACATGGATGAAGTGCCAATAAAACCATTTTTAAAAAGTGAAAAGAATCTTCATTAAAGGTAATTGCTTGGCCTTTACCAAGTGGCACTTACGTAATCTGGTGTTAAGTTCAGACTATTAAGAGTGAAGGGGTGGAATTTAGCTTGTCAATCAGGTCACAGCTTGATGACCTTATTTGGAGGGGCTACAGAGATAAATAGCTCAGGCACACACTCTCTGCTTGGTCCTCTTGCTGACAAGCCAGGAGCTATACTGATGGAGCCAGGGCTCTGGAGCTGGAGGGGCCACAGGGAAACCCCAGCCATCCCTGAGATGTTTCCACTGCAACTGGATCTACAAGACTTTCCACCCATTGACTTGTGATCTTCCTGCATTTGGCATTATTGCATAGCTGCGTGAATCAGAAGAGGAATTTATAGACTGGTATTGGACATATGGGCTAATATTGGAGTTATGGACTTGATCTGGACTGGGCTGGGATGTTTTCTGGATATACAATTATTCTTTGATATAAAATTCTCTATTACACATATGTGAGTGTCTCTGGATTTATTTCTCTAGTCAACCCAGCCTAACACAGCCACAGTCAAAACTAAGTTTGCTTGGTAATTCCAGTTATTTTATATTTCATATCATATAATGATAAATGCATAAAAATAAGTATAAAATTTTGCCACGGAACACATGATGTCTAAGCATATAATATATAAGAATTCTTGGAAGATGACTGTGTTATAGATCTATGCTCCATGCCTGCCCAGCTTCACCCTCAAGGCCCATTTCTACAAGGCCCACTTACACATTGCCCACTTACACATTGCCACCCAGGTTGCCCTCCAAATAGAGAAGTCTGGCTGACTAGGGATAGAGTAAAACCCCAATGAGATAGTGATGCAGCCATATCTCGCAGTGCAGTTGACTACAGATAGTCTTTAGAACTATTCGTATTAGCCTCCTTGAGAGATAACTCAGTGCTCCTGGACTCCCAGGAAAATGGCACCAAGTTCCACCAAAAAGACATGCAGACAACAACTCACATCAGCAATTTCTACAATAAAGCAAGAGAAACAAAATATCAGAGGAGGACCTGAACATAAATTTTCATAGAAGCAGGAGACGTTGAACTGCCACAGAAAGAAATCTTCATAATGCAGCTTAGAGTCATACAGGGGATGAGGGAATCAATACAGGAAAAGGATGAAATAATAGAGGAGATAGGGTCCATATACCAAAGGGAAATATAAGAGGTAAGGGAAAACCCAGCAGAAGCAAGGCAAATGGGAAAAGACCTTACCAACAGGCTGGATGAGGCAGAGAATCATATCAGTGACCTCAATGATAGCCAAATAGAACTCAACAAACATGAAAGAAAATCAAACAAGATAATCAAAGAAGTTGAAGAAAACTTGAGGACAATGAGTGATCCTATGAAGAGAAACAATATTCAAAACTTGGGTTACAAGAGCAAGACAAAATGAAAAAATTATAATTCCCAAAAGGAAACTTCCCCAGTTTAATGAAGGAGAATCAGATAATTGTCCACGAAGCAGAGAGAACACCAATTAGACTGAACTCTAAGAAGATCCATACCAAGGTATATAGGTCAAATTATCTAACTTTGAAGAAAAGGAGAAAATCATAAGAACAGCTAGAGAAAGTAAAAAAGCAGTAACCTATAAGGGTAACCAGATAAGAATATGCTCAGACCTATCTACAGAAACCATGAAGAAGAGGACAAAATGGAATAGGATTTTCCAAAAATTAAAAGAGAATAACAGCAACCCATCAAAATTGATGGAGAGGTAAGCGTTTTCCCAGATAAGGAAAAATTTAGAGACTATGTCTGTGTTAGTCCGGGTTGATTACAAAGCAAATCCAGGCACACTCACGTGTATCTAAAGAGAGATTTATATCAAAGAGTAATTGTATATTAAGAAAACATCCTGGCCCAGTCCAAATCAAGTTCATACATTCAATATTAGCCCATAAGTCTGATATTAGCCTAAGAATTTTTCTTTAGATTCACACATTACATGCAATGATGCCAAATGCAGGAAGATCACTGGCTGGTGGGTGAAAAGTACTGTAGACCCAATGGAAGTGGACACATTCACAGGACTCTGGATGCCATCAGCATGGCTCCATGTGGCTTGTCAGCAGAAGGTAAAACAGACAAAGTGTGTGTCCCAGCTACAGGGAGGACAGGAGTTCCCAGAATCCTCAGGAGAAGGCCTGCCCACACAGAGGCTATGACCCAATTGACAGGCTAGACTCCACCTCTTCACTCAAGTTGACAGACATTATGTAACTGCCACTGTCCACCTATTGTCAAATTAACACTTTTACACAACCCTTTAGCCATAAATAATTTTTAAACCGAACAATAATAAAATCATATCTGTAGCTAACAGAATAAACCTAAAATGCATGCAATTCAATATGTGCCAGTCTCATTTAAACATAATATTCTATAAGTAAACAAAACAACAATATTCTATGCCTAACAATTGCAGTTAAGTGAACACTTACACCCTAATCCTATAATCCTAGAGGCATATTCCCCTACCTATGAAAGTTTATAAGCCAGCCACTTCATGCC